ACGCGACATCCTCGGAGGGCACGCCACGTCTCCGCCAGCGCGTGCGCCGGCGTGGGGGCTGCGAGGCCGGCGTCGCGCGCGCGCGCGCCGCGCGCATTTTTTACCTCGGCGGCTGGGCAGAGTGTGCTGCTCTGGCGATCCGGCATCAGCGGGGCGCGCTGGATGCAAATTGGCCCGCAATGCACGCGGGGGAAGGGGGGCCCCGGCGCGGCGGGGAGGGCGGGGCCGGGCTCGCTCAGGCAAGTCACCGGCTTCGGCGGAAAGGGCGCCGAGGGGGGTGCCAGCCGCGGCGCCGGGCAACAGCTAGGGGGGGGGAAGGCGACCTGGCGGCGGCCGGGCGAAGCTGGGCGCGGGGGCAGGTGCCGCGAAGGCAGGCGTGGGAGACCAGACCAGCCAATCAATATCAGCCCGTGAGGGTACCGCGGGGGCTGACGTTGAACGAGCGGCAAACGACTGCAAGGAGAGAAGCGCGTCGCGCGTTGATGCAGTCACCGCGCCAATGGAGGGGCTGGCGGGGCAGGCGAACCCGGTGGTTAGGCGATGCGCCGAGATCTGGCGACCGACGAGGCGCGATGGGAGGTGAGCGGGCGGGGCGCAGGCTGCCGCCGGAGTGAAGGCGATGGGCAAAGTGCGAAGAGGCAGAGCCGCGGCATCAGGGGGGGCGGCGCGGTGCTGGGAGTGCTGGCAGGCGGGCGGGCGGGCGCCGAGATCGGGCGACCTCCGAGGCGTGGGGGGGTGCAGCGCAAGGCGCCGCGGCAGCAATTCGCCCGCCGGCAGGCAGGTGGGTGGCCGAGAGGCCGGCCTGAAAACCATGCTGGCGACGGGGGGCCTGGCGAGCGCGGACGAGGTCGGCCGGCCAGGCGCTGGGCGCGGCGCAGCGGTGGGTGGTGCCGCGAGCGAGGCCTGGACAAAACCTGCAGAAGGCCGGCGAATCCCCGACCATAGCGGGGGGTGGCATCGGCAGGGCAGGGCGCCCTCCAAGTGGCGAAGGGTGGGCCCGGGCCAGCGGCGGGCGGCGAGTCCAGCCCACCGAGGCGCGCGCAGGGGCCGGCCCCTGGAAGGGCGGCTGGGCACAGGGGGGGGGCCGGCGAGGGCAGCAGCCAAGTCGGGCGGCGAGAAGAAGCATGTAGCCCCGAGTGGAAGCTGGAGGCGCGCGGGGGGGGGGAGGCGCCGAAATTGCGCAGCGCCGGAAACCGCCGACGAGGGCCGTGGCAAGGGCGGGCGGCGAGGAGAAGCATGGCCCCGAGAGGGGGCAGGAAGCGCGCGGGGGGGGCGCCGAATAAGTGCAGCGCAGCGAAAAGAGAGCCGCCGGGGCGCAGGGAGGGGGGGGGGCAGTTGGCCCGGCAGGCCAATGCCAGCCCCGCGAGCAGGGTGACTCAGAACGGGTCGCGGCAGAGTGCCAACTGCGGGGGAGCTACCAGCGGCGACTGCGCGCGCTGGGCCACCGCTGGCGAGTGGGGTCGTTGCTGGGCCGGGATGTGTCGGCAGGGCGCTTGCCATGCCCCTGGGGCGGGGGCCCTTCCCTTCGCCTTTGGCGGCCTCAGCGTTTTGCCTCCTCTTCTCCATTTCGCGCTCCCATTCGGCGCCCCAGTTGGCGCGGGTGCCCCCGTGCCTGCGCGGGGCGCGGACGTCGTAGTTGGCCTGGCTGAGGTCGGGCGCAAAACTTTGGCAGCATTCGGATTTGTGCCCGGGGGGGGTTCTTGGAGGAGCGCGGCCTTAGTTTCCGATCTCGCGCTGCGTTCCGGCTGATCGCCGGCGTGGGGCCGCGTTCCTTTTTGAAGCGGTCGACCGTTCGTGCCACTCCTCTCTGGTATTGGTCTTATAGTTCCAGGTGGGCTGCCGCGCGACTCTCTGCCGCGGCACGTAGTGGGGTCGATCCGTGGCTTCGTGCCGGGGTCGGTGATCGCGAAGGAGAAACGGATGGCGAAGCGCCGGCTCCTGTCGCCAGGGCGGAGTCCGCTCCGCGGCGTCGCTTCCGCGCCACCTTCTGGATGCGCCCGGGCTGCGATGTTCCTCGCGTGCAGGCTCTTCCCTGGCGGTTTGCGGGGCGCCTCCGCTGGGCGGCTCTGCCCGCGGAACCTGCCCGCGGTCGGGGCTGGGGGATGGGGTGGGCGCGCGTCGGCGGGCGGCCGCGGGGAGCTGCTCGGGCCGCGGCGCCTATCGTCGCGGCTGATCGCCGGGCTGCAGGTCGCTCCTGCGGGCCCCAGTCGCAGGCCGACGAGTTGGAACGAGCGCGTGGCGCCGAGGGGGGTCTGGAGCTGCTGTCGCTCCGATTGCGCCCTGCCTCTGAAGGGTCGTTCGGTGCGTCGGACAGACGCGCGCGTTCCTCCGAGGCGCCGCATGGCGCCGACCTGAACCTCGGTGATGGGGGGGCTGGGTTGCGGTCGAGCCCGCTTGATGACCCGCGCCTGGGGGGTGCCGGGGGTGGCGGCAGCTCGAGCTGCGCGGGGCGCGGCGCGAGGTTGCTTGGCTGGCTGGCTGCTCCTACCTCCTTCATGAGCTTTTGCGTGCTGGGGGTGGGCAGTTGCCGCCTGCGGGGGAGCGGCGGCCAAAGTGCGCGAGAGGGTTTGTTTCCTCCTTGCCGCTGTTGCAGGAAGCCCGCGGACCTGCGGGTCCTGAAGCGAAGTGGTGCCTCTCGAACTCATGTAGTCGAACAGAATCTTTTGGCTGTACCACGCAGGGTCCCGTCCTTTCACGGACGCCTGGGGGTCGTGTTTGTTGCGGTGCGCGTCCCATTCGTCGGGTCCACTGGAAACGCTGGCGGGGTCGCGGCGCCTCTGGCGGTGAAGGTGGCTGACAATCAGAGCCAGGCTGGCGCGCTGATCGTCCCACTGGGCGCCGGGGGGAAACCCAGAGGTCGGGATGGATTTGCCGCAGATGGTAGCAAGGAGCTCCTGGCAGCTCGCTGCAGGTCAGGCCCTGGGGTCAGCGGGTGCCCCCATGCCTTTCCTGGGCCTGCGGAGAGAAGGGGGCGCGTTCTCCCCCGCTCAAGCCCTCCAGCGTTCGTCTATCAGGGGAGAAGCTGAGCGGGCATA